TTCCCAGCTGATAGTATGACGCTTGAACTTACCTCGCTTCACCGGCCACTTCTTAGGCCCAGGGTAGCAACTCCATAGGCTTCTCCTCCATTCTTCTACTATGTACAACGGCCTTCTCACAATTACTGCCTTAGCTCAGCTCTCCCTTTTATATATTAAGCTCCCAAACCTCCTGTCTTAGATTGGCTTCCTTTTCACAGCTTGGTTTTGTTTCTTGGAACACTGAACATCTTTTGATACATGGCAGTCCTAGATATTTTACTAAGCTGTGTAGTGTATGAACTACCATGTGATTTCCTAAGGCATTCTTACTTCCAAATTTATACAAAGACTTTTCCGCTACAATATTGGTCTCAAATCATGTCTTGAGAGGATTACTTTCAATGATCTCTAAGTCATTCTAAGCTACAGCCATCTCTGGCATTTTCATCATTGTGTAGATATAAACCATGGTTCTTATCTCAAATCTAAACCCTTGTATTTGAATGGATTCCTCTATAGATTCCAAGGGTTGTTGGATTGGTTTGTTTAATGCTGGTTTAAAACCAACTTGGAATAGCTTGTTTTTAATGTTCCCTGAATAAATCCATAATCCTTTACAAAGAACTGGTAAACCTACCTTCCACTACAAAAAACATGCTGACCAGCTTACAATAGAATGGTGAGGGTTGGAAGGGAGCCCCTGGTCTGTAATCCACCTCCTGCTCAAAACAGGTCTAGCCTGAAGCACAGTACTCTGCCCCAGTTCTGCTCATGTTGTGATTATCTCAAAGGATGGAGACTTCGCAGCCCCTCTGGGCAACCTTTACCCAACTTGACTCTGCTCAATATTTCCCCTTATACTGAGCCAAACATTTTTAAATGCAGATGCATTCTATTGCATATCCTTCCATCATGCACACTGGAAGAAACTTTGGCTTCTCCATCTTATTTAGACTTTCATACTACGTAGCTAATTACAGCACTAAGCTCTCTTGATGCCTTCTCTTCTCCAGCCTGAACAAAGGCAAGTTCCTGAATTAATGCAGTCCTTGGGACTTGTTTGGGAGTCAAAAGCTAAGCACTTCAGCATGTGTTGAACAGAGTGGAAGAACTGTCTCACTCAGGCTCCTGGCCGTGCCCTTGCTGTGGCAGCCCAGGAGCCCTTCAGTCCTGTTTGCTGTAAGCTGTTGGCAGCTCACGGCAGCTTCTTCACCAGGAAGCCTGTGTCTTCTACAGCACTGCATTCTAGACACTAGTCCAGCCTTATTGATCCATGGGCTTTACCCATGCCAGGTACTGGGCTTTGCACTTGATTTTTGTTGAATTTCATTAGGTTTCTCCAGGCTACCTACCTGTGAATGGTCACCTTTTCCTCCTGCATACTAACTGCTCCTCCCAACTCATCGCCGTCATCAAATGTGCTGAGCTTGTGCTCAGTCTTCCAGGTTGTCAATCAGGAATTAAGGGTATTGGCTCAGGTATTGATCCCAGAGTCTAGCAGTCATACTGCTGATCTCCACACTTCAAGCCTGATGGCCCAACCAATTTTCCAGAAGCTGTATGAACCACTTATCCAATCTGGAACTCACCAATTCAGTTATAAAAGTACTGTGGGAGACTACATCTAAGTCTTTGGTAAAGTCAAAATATACAACATCCACACGTTTCCCCTTGCCCACACAGCCATTCATCATACCTTAGTTACTGGTGCTACAGAAATAACTTCTATGTAAAAATTAATTTATGCCTTCAGCAACTGGTCTACCTTGCTTTTAAGTAACTCTAGGTGTTTAATGCCTTTACCTATCATAAATACATATTTAAGTATAAAATTCTTTTCAAAACACATTGCGTTGTGACCAAGTTTTCTAACTGTTCTTACTAAAATTTTTGAACTCAATGCATTAAAAGCCTTAATGATAATGCCTTTAGCGGTATCCATTTACCTAATTTTAACTAATTTATTTGGAATAAAAAAATGGAGGAAAATTCTTTAGTGTTGCAAGTGTCACTATGTTACTGCTGTGATTGTTAAAAATATTGATGGTTTGAAGTTTCACATTGTCCTCATTTAGGGCAAATTTGGGAGAAAACCTCCAAAGGGCTTCCTCTAGAAAGCAGATTCAAGTGACCCCTCCTTCAACTGGTTTGGAAAAAGATTTCCTTGGAGGAAAATGGAAAAAAACCTTTATTTAACAGGCAAAGAATTCACCAGCACAAAAAAAAATGAATAATATTTAACAATAAAACCTCTTGCTGCTCCAAAGAGATGACAAAGTCAGAAAGTCCCTGGTGGGCTATAGCTCAGCTCACTCAGTTTCTTATCAGTCCCTCTAGCGCTGGAAATGCTGCGGTCCAGGCTTGGGCCGCAGGTGCAAGTTCCTAGTGCTCTTCTGGGTTTTCAGTCCAGAGCAGGTTCAAACTTCAAAACGAAAAACCACAGTCCAGGGAACTTCTCTGCCTCAACTAGCTAAAACTAACTAAAAACCCAAGGAAAGCTCTCTCCTGCCATCTGTCTGTGCTGCAGACAACACAGTCCAGGAGAAGGATCCGGGGGAGCAAATGCCGTCCCTGATAACAAGCTCCGTGCTTCTCTCCCCCCCTTCACTCTTGGAACCAGTCGTAAAGGTGCAAAACTTATGTCTGGGCTAAACTATGATTGGGGATACAATTCAGCATCATAAAGTCACCCCAGAACACACACTCACACAAGACCTCAGTCCACAAGACACTTGTGCTTTTCTCTCACTCCGGTTCCCAAACCATCAGGTGAAACACCTAGTTAGACCTGCTGTGCTGTGCCAGCCCAGCCCGTGTGGTCTGGGCTCATCCTTATGTGCACAGCGACCTGGTTCCTGAGAGTTTACCTGGTTAAGACACCTAGTAATCCCTGGGTGAGGGTGGGACCTGAAAGTATCCTGGAGATGAGATCAAATTAAAGTCTCCTGGGGCAGAACGAGTATGCTGTGGGTGGGGATACAGCCCTCAGTTCCCCCTCTGTTCTCAGACTTTTTGTGATTCCAGGCCTCTTCCTGAGCTTTCTGAATGTGCCCACCCATTGAGAACAATTCATCAGGCTGGTTACATTAATCTTGAAGCAGTTGTTCACAAAAACTTGTAACAAGAAAAATGGTTATTGATTAAAAACTTTGCTGCCAATATTCAGTACACTCAGTGAGTTATGAATGCTAACCTAGGTCCAAATCATTACTTAAATTACTGGTTTGTTATGAAATGTGTTTTCATTATGAATCTTAAAAAGGTAGCATTCAGTAATACATGAAAGCAAAATGAGCAGATAAATTTAAATGCAGTTACAGTGCAGCACTCTTCTAAATTTGTTTCTTGATTAAATTGTATCAGAAAATTCTGAATTTAACCCACACCAAAAATGGTAATAGCTGATAGAACCAGTTAAAACTTGAGACTCAAAAATCGTCTTGCTCAAGAGGAGGAGTCTCATATATCAGACAAGTGAAATAAAAATTACTTTTTCTTCTTTGAATCAATCTTCCCACTCTCCATCCTGCCGTTGTACTCCCATTCATTAGATCCTGCTGGATTAGTGCCCTGCTGTTGCAGTATCAGTGAGGCATTAGACTGGCTAATTTCAATGTGACACCACCACTTTAGGATTACAATTCACATTTCAGGACTGACTTGTGGATGGCAATACTGGTTTATATTATGTTACCGTAATAGTAATACATACCCCATGTTTAAATCTTTTAAAGCAGTGCCTGTGTTACCCAGCAAGTGGTAGGGCTATGGCATTTGGCTTGCTACTCACGCAACACAATTACTTGAACTGAGAAAACCATACCCTCTCTCATGATATATCCATAAAGGAAAATTAAAGTCCACCCCCTTCCTGGGAAAGTGAACAGATAGCTCCTCTAGCAAGCATTAAGTCTTGCGAAATGGTGAGTTGATCTAAGAGTGCACTAATTGCTCCCAGTTTCTCCCTGTCCCTTGCATCAAGTCTGGTGCTTTCCTGTGCAGCTGGTAAGGCACTTCAGATCACCAACCAACAGAAACTGTGAACATTAAGCATTTTCCCTTATGTAAGTTTTCAATGTTTCAGCAGCCGTACTGGCTCACTGTAGAGCCACACATGTCAAAAGCTGGCACTGAAGCAGCCATAGAAGGTGACCGGAAGAACCTTACATAGGTGATACCACTCTTACAGCAATAATCTGACTAACCCACCCCATAAAGATTTACCTTGAGAAACCCATTAACTGATCTGAAATTCCTTGTTTGAAAAATGCAACATCAGACATTTTTAAGCATCAATCGAGACCATCTAAGATATTTTCCAATATATATTGACTAACACCATTGACTTGATTAGTGATGATGATTAAGGCCATTAATTCTTAACACCCCTGTTTCAAGTTAGGGTCTTACACACTGATTAGTAAATAGCACAGATCACAATTATTGAGCATGCTAAAAGATGGGCTGGTCAAGCTGTAGGCCAGGTTCCACCGTACTGTGCCTGCCTTCACATGTGGGTGCCAGCGTCTACTTAAAATTGTGCTACTTCCCATCCAGAAGAAATATTTTTAAAAATCTGCACACATCTGTGTTTCCCTAGGTCATGAAAAGCTCAGCACACAGTTCAGCCTACACGCCCAAAACTCATAACTGGGCCAAAGCTGCATCCTATTTCCCCCATCCCTTTCTGGTACTGCCCGAGCCACATGCTGGGCATTTCGCTAGACAAGAGGACAGAACAGCCCGTCCAACGCGGGCCGCCACAGCAACGGCGGGCGAACGCTGCCGCAAACGCGGGCGGACGGGATGGGGCGGCACCCGTCGGGGCCGGGGCAGGTGCCGGCGGTAGTGCCCGAGCCCGTCTCCTCTCTCGGCTTTTTCTGGGCAGCGGGAGAGCAGCGGGGACTGCGGAGTAACAGGTGCCCGAGCCGGGGCTGGGGTGGCCTCAGCGCGCCGCTGCCTCGGGCTCCGCCGGGCGCTCGCAGCCGTCACCCCGCGCAACGCCGGCGACGCGGGGGATGCGAGCGGAACGGGCGCCGGCAGCGGCGGCGGCAATGGGGGAAGGCGGCGGCCGGCGGGCGGCAGAGCCGGAGCGCTTGGCCTTGGAGCTGGGGCGGGAGAGGCGGAAGCAGTGAGTCCGGCGGGGGACGCGGCGAGGCCGCGCACAGCGGCGAGGCCGGGCACGGCGGCGGCTCCGGGAGCGGCCCCTCAGCAACGCCCGCGGGGCACTCCCGCCGCCTCCCTGCGGCAAAATGGCGGCTGGCTCCGCTGCGAGGGGAGCGGGCGGGGCCTACGGCCTGCCCGGAGCCTCTCAGCGCGGCCCGGCTGTGCGGGGAGCGTCGCTCGCTCTGCTGGGCGCCGGCAAGGGCTGGCCCGAGGGATGCGAGTGGCACGAGGAGCCCGAAAAAGCGGGATAATGCCAGCCGTAGTGGAAGATAGGGCCGGCTGCCGTGGTTAACCGCGGCAGGCCGCTCAGCACCCACACAGCCGCTCGCTCCCTCTCCTGCTAGTGGGTGGGATGGGGGAGAGAAGGAAGGAAGGGTGAAAGAGAGAAAATTCGCGAGTTGAGACAAAGACAGTTTAATAACTAAAAAGGAACAACAACAACAAAAAGGAAACAATCCCAAGAAAAGCAACTGATGCAAAAACCTCCAAGAGCTCACCACCAGTGGGATGATGCATTTCCTTAGGCAAAGCAGCCCCAGCAAGTCCCAACACCTTAGTTTTTATTTCTGAATGTGACATGATATAGTGGGGTATGGCTTTGGTCAGTGGGATCAGCTGTCCCAGCCATGTCCCCTCCCATCTCCTTGTGCACCTCCAGCTCTCACTCACGGGGTGAGGAGCAGAAAAGGCCTTGACGCAGTGTAAACAATGCTCAATGGTAACCAAAACATCACGGTGCTATCAACACAGTTTTCATCACAAATCTGAAACATAGTCCCATACCACCTGCTGTGGAGTGAATTACATGTGTCCAAGGCAAGCACAGTACACTGGGCTGGGAAGCCACTTCGGGAGAAAAACAGAGAAGACTTTTACATGGGTTCATGCCTTGCTGGGGGAAGATGAATAAAATGGAGAATAAGGTGCTCTTTATGCACACTTCTTTCTACAGTGTTGAGTAAAAGTGGAAAGCTGCATTTCACCTAGGGTCAGTAAATATCTCAGAGACCTCTAAGTAAGGTGCGGCATCTCTGCATGCAGTTTGCAAGGATGAGGACTTGTTCCTTGTTCCTTTTAGCAGTCAGTCCCCTTGCTAAAGCAGCAGTTTTTTCAGTGCTTTGATAATTGATGATGCTCACGCCTGGTGGGATTGTTTTTTTCCTGTTTGCTTAGGAAGCTACACATTTTTCCCTTTGTTGAACAACATGATTGCCTTTTGAGTGTTAATAAATGGAAATAGGAAATGTTGGAAGCTCCTGTGCTGCCTGAATTCAGACTCTTGATATTTACACTTACATACCATTTTCAAGCATTCTATTCATACTGATTTTTCACCTGAAAAATCAGTATGAATAGAATGCTTGAAAATGGTATGTAAATGTAAATGTTTCTTTCAGTGTCTGAGCTGCAGACCTCTTCAAACTAGTCCTGCAGTTGTGGATTTTATAAAATGTTCATTCATAAATTGAAAAGGAAAACCCAGTACTAACAGAATCAAAATGGCACAAAAAGTAGCTTGGACATACTTGCACTAATGTGTAAGTAAATGACCTTTAATAAATCTCCTGACTTAGTAGTAGTGTCTCAGGGTCAATAGATCAGTTATCCTCTGCATGCACCAGTTATTCTACCTGACACATGATATTAATGATGATCAGGTACAAAGTTGAGTTGTGGTGACTTACTTATGGATAAAAGCAAAATATATATTTAATAAAAACCTTTATGGTGATGGCATGCCAGTAAAAGACTTTCAGCTCCAACTCAGTTTTACAACTATTTTCTTTGTGTGCAAATCAACAATATTGTCTGTTTCCCAGAAGCTATTTATTCAGCTTAATTGCCAATGACCAGGCTTGTTAGACGTCTCCATCTAAACCAGTGGCATGTGTAGTCAATGAATACAGAAAAGCTTTTTGAAGGTGTGATTCATCTGACCTACTTTGCCTGGCTGTTCTAGCATGAGATGACTCACAGCCTAGGAGGTGCCAATTTCTCTCCCTTGGGTAGAAGCAAGCTGAGGATGAGTGGCTTGCAGATAGATGTCTGCATTCCTTCACTGCCATCTCACCCTTGTCATCATTTTACTGGCGTATCTGATTGTTGTGCCAATTAGGCAGTTTGCTAACAGCCCACCTACCCCTCTCATTTAGCAGTCATGAAGAAGAGATTTTTACTTCACAGAGTAAATTGAATCATTCATGTCCATGAGAGGTCTGTTCCTAATGTACTTACTGACTCTTCGATGATTGTGGATGTAGTACTGTGAATCCAGTTTTTGTCTGACTGTAATGAAAGTCAGCTCAAATCTAACTCTGTGTTGTTGTGATCAAGATTCGGTGCACGTTTTGATTGGGAAATGTCATGGCAAATGTTTCTGGGAGAGAGAGAGAGAGAAGGCATATAATACTGCAGTGTACTTCTTACTAGACAAAGAGGTCTTCAAGACATGTATTTATGCATGTCAGCTACTTAGTAATGTTGATGGAATTGTATGTTACTTCAGCTTGTGAGATTTCATTTCCTGTGGCTTTCCTTGCCAGGAAAGATGCAGCATTTTCCCAGCACACTGCTGACTGCAAGTGTCAGGAGTCTGGAGCTTTCAATTCTGTACCTGCTCTTCCATGTGGTGCCCCTGCACTGTGCAATATTGTTTCTGCTCTGTTTGTATATTCTGAAGGCATCTGTGCATTTTATCTTCTACAGGACTCGGTAAAGAGCTGCCATATTATAGAGCTGATGCCCTAGAGCTGATGACTTGTCCTGAGCTTCTCCTGATTTTTCTCCTGAGTTTTTCTCTTGACTATAGAAAATTGCTTCAAGCAGCCTTTTGCCTGATACATGTTCCAGATATCCAGACCTGGGTAGCAAAACGTGCAGGAAAATAGTTTTCATCCTAAGTGGCTGCCATTGTCAAGTAAAATAACACCTGTAGACAGCCTTAAAAAGAAATTTAGCTTTTTTTCTCTTTTGTAGTTTCAATCAGAGCCTTCTTATCTGAACTGCATATTTTTTTTCTCATTTTCTTCACAAGAGCTTTTTTGTTATGCTTAGTATGCAAGGATGTGATTAGGTTCTCATGATAACTTAAATGTGTGGTTTCAGGATTTACAGGCTTTCTTCTGTGATGACTGTAAATTGTCCATTGACATGGAGAATATTTATAGGCCTTGAATAGACTATTTATGTCTAACACAAGTGAGGTTGCAGGTGAAAAGTGCAATGCAGTCCCTCTAAGCAAGGACCAATTCTCTGGGCAGGTATCCAGCTATACACAGCTGCATTAAATTCACACTAACAGATACATGGCATGACCTTCACTTCCTTTCCCAATTAGAAATAACTCCAGAAATGCAAAATCAACATTAAACCCCAGCAATACTTCCCAAGCCGCTCAAAGTGATTTATTTCTACATCCCTTCTCTGTCTGGGCAGGGATTACATTTTACCGAATATGCACTGCCTGAAATAGAGTGGTTTTACCCTGGATGCATCCTGGGCGCTACTGGACTATTAAATATTTAATAATAATTATATTTTTTTGAAAACTGGTTTCTGTTGCCACATGGAAAAAAGACTTTCTGTCAGTGTAGCAATTACAGTGTGACACCTGACAATTTAGCATTTTCATAAATATATTTATCAGAACAAAATATAATTGGAATTTGGCTTCTAGTTTTGTTAATTGTGCAGAAAGAATAATAAAATCTAATGAAAGAAATTTTGTATCTAGTCTTGGAATGGTAACAGAAATTGAAAACTGGAAATATTGGATTTCAAGAGTTTATTCTTCCTGTGTTTTCCCTCTGCATCTGAGCACTTAGTTAAGATTTCTTTGAAAACGAAAACAATTTCTTTTCTATACAGCTCAGCTCTGGTTACAGCTTTGACTGTTTCTAATTTTCAGTGTTATTTCCTTTAAAAACTCCCATTTTAGCACTCACTGTCATCACAATTTCCTCTTTTCCAAGCTCTGGGAAGTTGATAGAAATCTGCTTTGCAGAAACCTTATCTATTTGTGTTGAAATCATAGCAGCAATGTAGTAAGATTTTGTCTTTCTTCTTCCTAGCCATCTGCCTCTTTTATTTGGAGTGGGAGAAAACAGGCAGCAGCAATCAGATTTCCTTTGGTTTTCCTACATCTAAAGCTTTTTGAGTCATGCTTCAAGGCTTCTTTGGCTGGGTTTCACCTTATCCTTTTTGTCTCTAGCAAGTTACCGGTACTGTAGTTATTTTTTTGCCAATGTGCCCCCTGTCTTAATTTAATGTTGGTAAAGACAAAAAGAGCAATGGAGCAGGGAGGGCTTGGAAGCCCCACCACTCCCTTGCCATTTAAGATATCTGTCCTACTGTTCTCCAGTGTGTCTCTTTCACTGAAAAACTTGGTTTACCTTAAATTACTCTTCTTTATATTTCTTTGCAATTTCAGCTCTTCAGCCCTCCTTATTCCAAGCTTACCTATTCAACTCCCTATGAACAGCTGGTTTGCTTCTGCAGCTTGCAGTTCAAATCTGTTGCTTCAAGCTGTGAAAAAGAAGTGTCACCAACTGAATGTGAGCACAATGAGTGCAAGAGGTGATGCAGTTCCTCAGTAATCAATATCTGTCATCAGAGATTTGATTTCTCAGAGGTTTGATAATTATATCTTGAAGAGCATTTCTCACAGACATGTTCAGAAAATGAATATCCATATTGACAATGGAAGCTCTCCTTTAAACACCCCCTTCCCCCCAATATTACAGCCTAATAATTTTCTTTCTTGCATGTTTTTGAACTAGGCTAAAGTTGCAAAGACACCAATTATCATATTGGCATTGTAAAGCATTTCCCAAAGGGCCTTCTTTGTAGAGTTTGTGTTCTCAGTTCTTTTGGAATATCTTAATTTGGACACTGAAAAATTGAGGTACCCAAGACCAATTGACTGTTTTTTTTGAAATGTTGGCCTTCCAAACTTAGCTATAAAGGACAAACCCACAAACTGTCTCTGCATTTTTGGGCATTGTGTTTTTTGCTTGCATCTATCCTGGTGTGGTCTGACTTCCTGAGACCTCACAGGCAGGAGCATTTCTCCATAGACATCTCCTCAGAGAACCAGACTGTTAGCATGAATATGGTCCATAACTTATCGGTAATGTCTTCTTGATGTGATCAAGATCATAGGGTTCATTGTAAGACACTAAACTACCATTGGGCCACTTTGAAGGATGAGAGTCACTCAGCACCTTGTCTGAAGCATGCCAGGTGGGTTGTGCTCTTGTCAAAGTCCCCTGCTACCTTCAGCTTCTGATCATACCTTCCAAGGCAGAAAGAGCCTGGTTTTCACCATACCTTTCAGCTTGCTGGCTGACCAGGATGGGCAAAAATATATTTTCCTAAAAAATGGTGGCTAGGGGTCCTGTATTTTTTTTTAACACTCATCTTACTTAAATTACTCACTTTCTTTTCTGATAGTCATAAATCATCATTTGTTTTGATTGGATTTAATATGGATGCAATTTAGGAAATGACTATTATTGAGCAGTAAGTCAAAATGAAAAACTAATTCAGAATTTCAAATAGCACATCTCTCAGGCGTATTCTTGTTTTAAAAAATATACTCATTGGGCATCTTTTAGTTGAAAAACAAGGGTCAATGTCCCCTCTACATTTTTTTAATTCTGATGGATAGCTAGAAAATTATTATATTTTAGGAAATGTCTATCTTGGGTTGTTGTGGAAGTAGTTTTATTCACAAAGTAGAAATGCTTAGTTGTTTTAAAGGTACTGTAGTAACCATTTTTCAATATATTTAAGAATGGACAAGATAATGTAACTTCATAGAAATGACCAATATATCTGAATCTTCTGAATCAATCTTCTGAAAATATATTTGAACTATTTTTTTTTTCTGATTTCAATAATGGGACTAGTACCAGAGCCATTTATTGGCTCGTGTAGCAATTTATTGACTTCTTTTAATACCACAGGCAGATGCTTGAAAGCTCAATATTTGAACTGAGAAACACTGTAACAGAACTGGAAAAAAGTCTTAACAGTGTTGAAAATGAAGGTAAGTAAATTACAACTGAATTTCTAATTGATTCGGAAACATAGATAAATAATTATTTTAGGAAGGACCTACAGGGGTTCAAATATTTATTTAGAAATTTAAATTTTCACTTTTCAAACATGACTATTATAACTGTGGTGCTTCAGATGTGAAATTAAGAAATACTACGTGTGGCCACACTAGCTTTTTTTTTGTTAATTATTCATGAAACTATGATCTGTATAAATTCACAGAGTTGGTTAATATTCTGACCACAGTAAGCCTAGTGAAAATTCCCCTTGATTTACATTGTCAAGCTCTTTTATATGCAAAGATGCTTATTATGAAGATTACTAAGTGAAGACTTTCTCAGTCTTCAGTTAGTTAAAAGGAACAGTTTTTAAAAATGCTTTTGCTTAAAATGACATGAACTAATCTGGGAAATAAAATAATTCTGTACTTGTTCTTTAAGGTAATGAATGGAAAACCAGATATGAGACACAAGTAGAATTGAACAAACAGCTGGAAAGGCAAATTAATATTCTTCAAGATAAGGTGGAGCTTATTCGTGGAAATCCAGCAGGTAGAAATGGATATTTGTATCTTTTTCAATAGAATTAGTGGTGATTAGAGATGTTGAAATTATATCAACAGGTCACAATTTTCTGCTTATTTATAGATAAACTGTCCCTTGTTCGCATCTTTGATAAAATGCCTGTGGTAAGTACTGTGACATTTAGTTGGCTTAACAACGAATCACATTCTAATTGAAAACTCGTATAGTCTTTGTTTTTCATGACAAAAAATAGCAGCAGCCTGGTCTAGAAGAAAAAACAATCACTTCTGCTTATGTTTTTATTGTTTCATATATGCAATTGCTTATAAAATATTGAGTAAAATCCTTATGTAGGAAATACATAAAACCTGAATGTTGGGAAGAGTTATGTAGTGAAATGTTTTCCTGAGTGAAGGTTTTACAACTGAATCTGCAGTAAGGCTTGCAATATGGAATAGCTGGACTAGATCTATGAATAAAAGAGAAAACATTAAACCTCAGGGAATCATTTAGTCTTTAACCACTCACAGTAAAAAATGTCTTCAGTTTTGACCAAATGGAATTCCAGCTGTTTCAGTCTTCTTGTCCTGTCATTGGGCTCTGTTGAGAGGAGCCTGGCTGCTTCTTCATTCCTTCCCATCACAAATTTATACACATTGATGAGAACCACTGGGCCTTCTTGTCCCCAGGCTGAACAGTTGCAGATCTCTCAGCCTTTCCTCATCTGTCAGGTGCTCTGGTCTCTTAATCACCTTCATAGCCCTGTGTTGGACTTGCTCCAAGAAGTCCATATCATTCTTGTATTGAAGAACTGGACCCAGCACTGCCGCTAGATCTCTCAGGTGCTAAGGATAAGGGTCGGATTACCTCCCTTAACCTGTTGACAACACCTTCCTAGTGCAGCCCAGGAACCACAGGCCACCCTTGCAGCAAGAGTGCATTGATTTCTTAGGGTCACCTTGCTCACAAGGACCCCAAAGACATTGTCTTCCAGGCTGCTTCCCAGACAGTCAACTCCAGCATATACTGTGCCTAGATTATTTCTCCCCCAGGGGCAGGACTGCATTTACATTCCACGTGATTCCTCTCTGCCTGTTTCTGCAGCTTCTTGAGGCCCCTCTGCATGGCAACACAATCCTCTGTTGTATCAGACAATAATCCCAGTTTTCTATCAACTGTGATAACTTAGATGAATAGTTGGAGTAACATTTTGCATAATATAGTCACAGGAAAAGTCCCCATTTTACAGTAAATTTTTGCATCACTGAAGGAAGTATTTGTTTTTATTTTTTAAATTTTATTCCTTAATGCATTCATACTTCATGTCCTTTATTTCAACACAGCTTAAAACATTTTTTCTGCAGTCTTGAGGAGAAAATGCCAAGGAAAAAACCCTAGCAAATATTATGGCAATTTTGTCTTCTAAGGTAGTAAATGAAGTAAAAAAATCATTGTAGATTCAGAACTGCTTTTTCCTTAGCCTGTCATTTGCTGAAATATGAAATTTGACAACTTTTCTGTTTCTTACTCACTTTTAGAAATAGGGAAGGTAGATAAAGATATGGTAATGCCTCGTAACACATTGTGATAATGAACATTATGACACAGGGCTGTTGTAGTTTTTATTCCTGTTGCTTATACTTACAGAAGTGTTACCATCTGACTTTTTTGGTCCTTCAGAATCTAAAGATTGTTGGGAGTTTAGTGACCCTAGAAGAGGCTGCATGCTCTGTTAGTGAGAAGGATAATTATCTGCTGTAAGCAGGGTGTGAATAATTAACTGCTTTTTCTGATCTGATCCATGGCTTTCAAACAGAAAAACGTTTTTGCCAGTTTTAGTGTTGTCCTAGAGACCATGGTGTTTTGTAGGTAGGCAAGAGTTTTTTTCTTTAGAAGCCAATTAAAAAGAGAACAAAATCTTCCCCATCCCACTTTCCTGTTTCACTGAGTTCATCTGAAAATACAGCTGGGATTATGTTAAAAGAAAAGTCTCGAAGACAGAGAACACTGATCTGGAAAATTTACAGCAGAGTCTGCTTTGGACGATATTATTCCTGTCAACCTATAAAGCACAGACTGACATGCATAGTTACAGTATCACAAGTATTTATTTCTGTCCAATTGCCAGGACTCTCCTAACCAATCCAATTACACCTTGCCAGGCACTCCAGGAGGCATTACCAGAGGGATAATCTCCTTTCCCACCAACCAGTACATTTGTAATCCCTGCTATGCACTGCACTGCCTGCTCACCAATGAGCCGTGGTTCTGAGAGGTTTGATTACTGTTCCCATGAAGGGAAGAATGCCAGCCCGACTGAAAGGTTCATCCTGCCAGAAGGAGTCTAGAAGGGAGCTTGAAGAGTCCTAGACTCACTTAGTGAAGCCTGGGAAAGTCTGGAATCCATATACTAGGCCATGCATTTTCAAGTCCTTACTTAATTCTTCCACCCTAGAGTTAATAAATCCTCCTGTTTGCTAACCAGAAAGGGAAGTGCTTTAAGGATTTAATGAAATGTTTCATTTTTTTCTTGTTTTGATTTTGGGAGATGGAAAGAGCACAGAAATATAAAGGCTGTTGTTTGGGGTTTTTTGGTTTTTTTGGCTGAAGCCATTCGAAAATTGGATACTCTTGGAGAATGAGGAGCTGCTTTGCTTTTTATACATATAATTTTAGAAGATAAAACAGTGGTAAAAATATACAGATAATTTTTTGTGGTGTTCAAGCATTTAGGTTTGTTAAAGCTCCTCTGGGGTTTTTGAGTGTTGTTCAGTGGATTAGGGGAGAATATTTAGCTTCTTCACATATGAGAATAAAGAGCAGATGTGAGTGGTAGAAAAACAAAGAGTTTTCAGCCAGTCATCAGTATACATTTGCTCAAATTAAAAATGCTGAGAGTGGGCATATAAAGCATCGCGTGTGTGCCTGTAAAATCAAAAGTACACTGTGGTATTCAGCTTTCAACTTGCAGTTGCATATGAATAGGAAATATATTCCTCTATGAAAATACATTTCCTAAGTGTATTGCATAGAAAGGATTTCTTCACTGAAAGGTTTGTCAAGCACTGAAACAGGTTGCCCAGGGAAGTGTTGAGTCACCATCCCTGCAGGTACTTAAAAGACAAGTATTGTCGCACTTGGCAATATGGATTAGTGGTAGACTTGACACTGCTGAGTTCATGGTTGGACTTGATCCCAAAAACGTTGATTCTGTGATTGTGTGAAGCTCTGTGGAAAGATTGAAAAGTGGTTCTTTCAGCAAGGTGATGCAATTCCTACAATGTGGCAACAGTAGACAGTAGAATTTCAGTAGATTTTGTTTTGAGCAATGTATTTAGAAAATTAAATATTATTTTCAAGTATTTATAACCTGTCTTCCCGAGAAACTTAGAATTATAATTAGGGTTATTAGAAGGACCTCTAACAATTCTTAATTTACTGAACAATTTCAGCTATATTTAACAGAGGAGTTATCTCAAAGATGCTGAAGAGATTTAGCTCACTCAAGCTAGTTATTTGAGGTCCTGCTATAGTGAGTCGAGGGAGGAAAACTTGTCTATAGAGTAATTCAACCTATTTAGATATAGGTAGCATAAAATATTTTCTTAATATCAAGCACTACAGGCAAAAAAAAAAAAAAAAAAAAAAAAGATATTAGTCATCAGGGACCTGGCAGTTAGCAAGCTATGAAAACCTGAATGAAAGAGAAGAATACAAATGCAAATTCTGACGTGATGAACAAGGAAGCACAGAGGATTTGCTGTGTTGAAAAATTGCAGTAATTGTTGCAGTTGGCTTGCACTATTTTTGCTTTAGAATTAGAATTGAACTGAAGAATAATTTATTTCTATTAAAAACAGCCCTACACCATTTATGTATACAGTTATTATTCTGAAGTCCTTATACTGATATGAGATAATCCTTTTTTATTGATTCAGAAAAATTATGTAGATGTCACATAGCAATATATGCAGAACCAATACCTTGATCACAGAAATTCTTACTGCCAGGGTCTAGAAAATAAATTTTGTGTACTGAGGGCAGATTAAAAATAACAGTGACAAGCACAAGGGAGTTCCAACAGTGAAAACTGTTTAGTCAGTAATTTCCTTTATGTTCCAATGAAAAATACAACTGTCATACAGTACTTCAGAAATAATTAGAGAAGGAATGCATTCTCTCTAAAGTATAACAAGATGTGAATTTTACTTGCATCTTTTAAACATGCTGCTTTCATTTGTTTGCATTTTTTCATAAAATGAGTTTTGGTAAAATACAGGTTCTCTGCTAAACATAATTTCCTATATAAGCAGAAAGAAAACTATTCCTTTCTCTCTCACTATTTCTGCAGGAACAAATCCCTAGACAGGAGCTTTAGTATGCAAATACTGAGAAGCACACTGTGAAATCAGTTCAGAAGAGCACACTCCTGATAGCATTGCCTTAGCAACGCTCTAGTTAAGATTAGCCCGGGAACCAGGGCTTCTGGGATAAATCACCATTTTTTCATAATGTCCAGCACCACAGAGGAGAAAATTCTGACATTAAGGGCCAGATACTTGCTTTACAAAGCTGTCTTTCTATAAGGACAGTGACCACAGAACTGATAGCCTCACACAACCACCTCAGAGTGTTTGCTGTCAGGTTTAAAATATAAGCAGAATGTGTGGCAGTGTCACGCTGGAGACATACGTGATTGCAATATGACTGGAAGGGAATCTTGGGTTTTTGAAAACATGCAGTGAAGGCTTTGTATTTCTGTAGGCATTGATAACTGCCTATAGGGAATATCAGCACTTAGAATGTCATAGGAAATGTTGACAATTCTTCTAGTAAGTGACTTAAATGAATCTTGTTGCTCTTCCTGGGTTAAGCCATGAGTGGCTCTATGGAAAGAAGAAATCTGGTATCCTAATTTGGTTTTTCATGAAACTTGGAAGTATTTTGGAGAAAGTTCTGTCTCTGCTCTGACTGCCCCCGGCTGTTATCCTGCCTCCTCACAGACTTCCCCTTCCTACTCCTTTCATTTGACCTTCAAATAAATACTTCAAATACCTCCAAGAGATCTTTTTCCTTTCCATGTCAACTTGGCATTAATTGTTCCTCCTGGTGGCCTTATTCAAACCAGGAGACTGTTTTACTCAAATCACTTTGTGGTGTGTCT